TAAATCATTCTTTGATTTGAATTTGATCGAATCGAATCAATTATAAATTTGAATTTATATTTGATTTGATTTTCAAATCAAATATTCAAATATCAAATCAAATCGCAAAACTCTAGTAAATATTACATAAGACTATATTTAAGTATAATTTTTATAATATTACAATTTATAAACATTTGTGAAGCCTAAAGTTGCTTGTCTAAACTCATTTTGAATTTGGTTAAATGTCTAAACCTTTAATTTTGCTAAATTTTTACTAAGTGTTTGATATAGTTTTACCATTTTATAAACTTTGATATAGTTTTACCTTTTTCTGAATTTTGCAGATTTTTTAATAAGATTTTAATATAATTTAACCAAGTTTTACCATTACTATTTAGACGTTTATCTAAACTCTGTATTTTGTTTAGCAACCTTAGTGAAGCCTATAAACCTTTGCAAACCTTTGAAATATTACAGTATAAAACTTTGCAATATTTATATTTTAGAATAAATTTTACAGAGATTTATGTTTAAATTTTTTCTGATATATAATAACCAGTTTTAAGCAAGTAAAACTTAAATTACGAGAACCTATAATTTGATATAAGAAAAGAAGTAAAAGAGTTAATATACTGCAGTTAAACTAAATAAAATTAAATATATTATTACAATTTATTCCAGAAGATATATAGATTTTATATTCAATCTATTTAGACTTAAACCTGTTGTTATCTAAAAAATAGAACATTCATTTTTAGGTAAGTGATTGAGTTCGTTATGTTACAGACTTTAAGTTAATTTAATGAAATATTCTTAATTGCTGCTGCTACCTATCATCAAAGATTATAAATTCATTATGACCTTTTAAGCTGAATATTATAGCGATTCATTTAAGTATGAAGACTTAATGAACTGTAATAGATATGATATATAAGTAGATTACATAAACATAATGAGAATAATTTTGTTAAACATAAAAAAAATATATTTTATTAAATATTATAACGTTATAAGTGATTGCACAATCATCATTACTAATTTTCGCAACACATTTCACATAAATTAATTACTTTAAGATTGCTTTCATTTAAATAATTCCAACTTATCCTATTTATACATTTTGATTTGATTTAAAATTACAGATATATTAAATAATTACTATATAAGGATTGCCTTTAATTATCTAATTATTGCACAATTATAATTACTAAAGATGAGTACTGTAATTAATATGTTGCAACTTTTAATGTTATAACATATGTAGCAATTAGTTTTAACATATATATGTTGCAACTTATACTGTTATAATATATGTTGCAATCAATTTTAGCTTATGTTGCAATAAGTTGTAAATTTGAAATTAATTGCTACACCATCTTTAATTACTACATATTTTATTGCTTAGTTACTATATCATGACTATTTAAGAATCACTAATTTTCTAACTATGATAAATATCTTTTCATAATTACTACATTTACCCTAATTTTTAAATGTGATATATCATATCACATAATACCAATTTCATTGATCAATATTTTAATTTATGATTACATTTTATTATAAGATCATTTGTTGCAGTTTCTTTGATGATGAATATTAATCATGCTTTTTATATCACATTTCTAATTAAATGCCTCATTTTTATTTAAATATCACTGTATAAGATGCATTCTATTTTTTTAACCTCTTAAGTTTTAGATTATTTTTGGATACATCTGTCTTATCTTGAAAAATTCTTTTATTATTATATTTTTTTGATGAAGTAATGTTTTACAACAATTAGAAAAAGATTTATTTTTGTTAATATAGACTATTCTATTAAAATTTATAGTCTAAAAATTGATAATAATATTAGTAATAAAGAAAATTTTAAGGGAAAAACGAGAAATTTAAAGATGATTTTTATATTTGAAAAATCAACATAAAAAAAATTTAAATAACATGAAAAAGTTTTCTTCTATAGAAAATAAATAAAAGATTATCAATATTTATTAGTTGATGATAATTATCAAACAAGAAATTATAGAATATGATAAATCTTATTTATGGATTAATAAACATGATAATTAAAAAAAAGAAACTTAATCTATTAGATAAAAATGATGTAATAAATTTTAGAATTATTGCAAATATAATATATATATAAGCTTAATTGATATTCTACATATTTAAAATATAAGAAAATAATTTTAGTTTGAATATATATTTTTTAATTTACGTATAATTTTTACATTATTTCAAATTTATTAATAATTTCTTATATATAGAATTTTGATACAAAATCATTAAATACATATACAATCTTATAAAAAATGTATTATTTTTTATTTAGATTTCTTATAGGATGTGGTATGACAGATTTGAAGGAGATAGTAAAAGGAGAAGGAAAACTGGTATGATATATTTTGATCAGTACAATATAATCAAGCAGATTGATATCCTTCAAATTATGATTATATCATACTAGTTTTATAATATTATTAAACCAGTATAATAATTGAATAAAGTAATATACTATAATAAAAAACATTTATATATAGAACTAGAATAGTATAGTATAATACTTTCTATAATTATACTGTATAGGTTTTATATACTCTATTGTTATGATCTCAATGATAATAGTAGTGATTTTGCATTCTATATTAGGATCATTTCAATAAAAACAATTTTCTAAAAAAAAAAAAATACCTTAATAAAAGATAAAATCAAATGATTATAGGAGGAAAATCAGAATGATCAATATGGTAATTTTATAAAATATATGATCGTACCATACTGGACTCAATAATATTATAGAATCAGTATGGTACAATCTGAGTTTTTATTAAAATCAAAGTAATACAAAAATAAACTGCCTCTGAAATATACTGTAGGCCTTAGAGAAGATGTCCAAAACCTCTATCTAAAAAAATGTAAAAACAATGTCTATTTATACAAATTTTATATAGAGATATCGGTAAGATTCCTCCATATTAATCAATTAAGACTGTGTCAATTAATTAAAGGATGGCGAAAAGTCTTAATTAATAATCCTTACTTACAGATTATTATTCTGGTAACTCTGCCTTTTATATGTAATTCAACTAGAGTTTATGTTTTTTCACTAGAAGTTGTATCATCTTCCACAAATAACGAATGCAAAATGATTTAAAAATTATTGAGAATAAATAAAACCATTGATGTAGATATTTTCGATAGTGAAGCAGCAACTTATATGATTGTTTAGAGTTTTAATAATAGCAATAAAGCAATGTTATTATAAAATACAAACATCAAAGCTTTATATTATCAAATAATAAAAATTTTAAAACTCTGGATTGCTTCCGAAAATATTTATAATGTTGATAAGTTTTTTTTAATTTAATACAACTTTTATCTTAAATTTTAAATCGTTAGAAAACAGGTAAAAATTCAACTCTATTAATCATATTTAAACTTCTAATTCATTCTTTATGGATTTTTTTAACTTGTTCTCGTTTTATCAGCATCGCTAACACTACAAGATATTCTTAGTTTTATTAGTTTATAATTATTTCTAAAATAATTTTTAATGAAAAATAAAATATAAATATTGATAAATTAATGAAATAATATAATATATCCGAAATTTGTCATTAAATTTCTGTTTTTTAAAAACTGTCAATAAATCATTTCAATATTTAAAGTTTATCATACCAAATTGTTTCATTATGATGCTTTTCCTATAATTTCAATGATAATATTTCTATAAATATCTAAATATTTGTCATCGAATTTTAAGAAAGGCGATTTAATAATTAAAACTAATTCAAGAATTTTTAGCTGATATAGTTTTTTGAGTTGATTTGATTTCTCAATATAAAACAACAACGGACAGTTAACTATATATATAAGACAATAATTCGTTTATGATTTACGTTAAGATATTGAGAAGAAATTCAAAGATCAAAAAGAAAAATTCTAATGTTATCACCAAAAAAAAAAAAAAAAAAAAAAAAAAAAAATCAAAAAATTGATTTTAATTGACCGACCGATTTTGACCGATTTTGACCGACCGTTTGATCAAACATTTTTTAATTAGTAATCCAAGAATTCTTTGCACTTAATTAACAATCATTTTATTTATGCAATTTTATATATATAAAAATCTTTAATTTATTTTTTAAAAAAAGTTCGCGATAATTCTGTAAATATGAAAGTAATCTTAACATGCATATTGAGTTAGCCTAAAAGAATAAGTAAAATATATAAAAATTCAGAGTTTTAGCAAATACCATGTTAGTATTATTTAAAGCTTAAATTAAAATTAACGATCAAGAACTTTAAATTATATTATTGTTAAATGGGCTGGTCAACCGGTCAATATAACAGGTCAGTTGGTCAAAGGCCACTAATCGACCGTTGACCGACCGTTGATCGACCATAACCGACCATTACCATCCTTATATTTGTCACATGCAATCTCTCACACTCTTTAGATTTAGGGTTAGGGATTATGCATAATGCATGATCTTTTCAGTATCACTATCAAAAACTCAGCTACTATGATTATATAATAATATGTCACATTACGTCACACTTACTATGTTTTATTTTTTACTATTTAATCTGGAAACTTAGTTTTTTTTAGGATGTGAAAACCTATTTGTCACTCATTATTTGTCACAGATTCCACCTTTTACTTGTAGCACAACACTAGGGCTAGGTTAAGATTACTTTACATGTCATATGAGATTTGGTTAGTATAAGTTAAGATTGGTTTATTAAAATTATCTATATTATACATATATAATCACATAATTCAAGCTTATTTTGATGGTATTGCTGGGAAGTTTAATGCATGCTATTATCAATTTCCCACAAAAATCCTTGGCCATGTAACTTATATATTTATCTGTCACATTACGTCACGCCTATCATGTTTCATTTTTTTACTATTTAATCTGGGAACTTTGTTTTTTTAGGGTGTGAAATCCTATTTGTCATTCGTTATTTGTCACAGACACCACCCGTGAGATAGGGTTAGCCTAATATCATGTGATCACAAAATCTTTGTCAGTACCTCCGGGTAGTTCTCCTATGAAAAAAAGTTGTACATGTTTTGTACTGATTTCATATAAGTGTATACTGAAATCATACGGTTATTGTGTAATTATTGTACAGAAATTTTAACGTAGAGAAATCGTACAAAAAAAAATTTGAAATTTGAAATATATAAAAATTGTGCTGAAATTGTATTGAAAAATTAAAACATACAGATTTTGTAGGGTAAATTAAATTAATTAATTTTTTAAAACATTGCAAATAATAACAAACTGAGTTTAAAACGTTAAAGTAAGCTTGCAGAGCAGACAAAAAATACTATCTATGATAATAAATTTAAGCTAGAAAATAATCATACAAAAACTATATCGATTAGTACAGTTGATTTTCCTAACTCAGATGTTGTAGGAAAAATATGCTAAAAATTTGAACGTACAGGTACTAGGATTATTTCATGTTTTGGCACCCTGCACTGTCCGAAAATTGTAGTGTTTTTTTTGACACTAAAGATACACAAAAACTGTATGGGATTTTTTTCATAGGGTTCGCAAAGTTAAAAGCGCATATCAAACGAAAATGGAAATTTGTAAACAAATGTAGATCAATTCATATTAAACAAAAATAGAAATTTATGTGTCAAATACATTTCCTTTTTTTTTTCTCTCGACATTTTTTTTTTATTTTTTATTTGCGTAATAAAAGATAAGTGGATATGTATTAATAAGCATGAAAACGCAAATGAAAGAATGTTTCGAAGATTGCGCACCTTTAAGGTATTTATAAAAGTTCATTCACATTTAGGTGGAACTGAAGTAGTATCAATAGTCGTTTTTATATGAACGTGAGAGGATTCTCATAAACTACATAATCATTTTCAAAAATCATATCTTATCAAGCAGATTGATGTCTAGGAATACCTGGTCAAAAATGATCCCTGTTTTATCGGCTATTGATAACCTTTTATCCTATATATACTAGTATGAAAAAAGTCCAGGGTCCAATAATACGAGGTAGAATTATCACCTGGCAGAATTATTTCTGTGCGATCCCCGATAGATAAACGTACTAAATTGCAATTTCTTTTTTTTTTATCAAAAAAAGGTTCCATCAAAATATTTTTCGCGATCTTCACAAAAATATTGAAGGAAACTTATTCGTTTATGAAAGAATGTAATATTATGATTATTTTTACTAAAGTTAAGTTTACATTGTCATAATATATCCAAATTTTTTAATAAAATTAGATTTATAAGGTTTATATTTCTTTGATTTTAATTTTGGTCCTCCCATGTTTCCCAATATGAATAATTATCTAAAATTTCTTTTCACCACTTACAAACTAGATTGAAATTTTTTAGTTTATTCTATAAAATATCTTCTTTAAATATCAAAATTATATTTATAATTTTTCTGTAAGTTCAGGGACACTTTTGATTTTTTTATTTTTAATAATTTGAGTCGCTTATTTGTTTGATTTAAATTTTCGACTCAATGGATATTTTCATTACGTCATAATTTTTGTTATATATTTTTTTTTTATTAATTATCTATCCTTTTTTCTAATAAATTATATATTTTTTTATATTTTGAACCTGAATTCTACTTTTGCATCGCAGATTTAATTTTTCGCATCGTAGAGTAATGCAACAAGTTAAGTGACATCTAGGACAATGTACATAGTATTATCCAAGATAAAAATGAATAAAAATAATTAATGTGATTAAGGAAAGTAAATAATATAATAATTATCGATTTTTAATCTGGTTTATGCTAATTTATTCATTTTGATACAATTTTTATCGATAATTTCTAATAATGAACGGTAAATACTGTACACTTCCATTTTATAGTAAAATTCATAAAAAATAAAAATTAAATATTATCAAACGGTAATAAACAAAGCATAAGTACAGTATTTGATCAGGAAATTCAAAATAAAAACCATCATTTTGACGCTCTTAAAAGAAGTTATTGATAAGTGATTAGAATTTAAGATCTTACATAGCTTATAGTACAAATCTAAAACTTAAATGTTTTCTTAAAATCTTCGCTTTTTAACTTTTGATGAACGATAATTAATTTACATCAAATTGAACTACCGATTATCTTTTATCTTTCAAAACTTCTATTATGTGGAAAAAATAATAAAATATTAATAAATTTAGAATAAGGTCATATGCTTCAAAATTTTATCATCTTTAAGTGGATAAAAAAGTCACAATATTAAAATTATTTATCGTCTAGCAAAGTAAATAATTTAATATACAATGAATTAATAATATGCAAAAAGAAACAAACGAATGTTAAAAAGAAAATTGGTTTGAAGTTTAATTATAATATGTCACAGTCAATTATGCAATTATTTTTGTTATTTCTATTTTTTTTAAAAAAATTTCTGATAAATTGAATAGCTAAGCTTAGAATTATAAGCTCAGCTCAGTTTATTTGGTTTATTTGCTAAAGTGATTACAAACTTTATTATTATATAACGATAGTTACATACTAGTTACTCTTTTGTAAACAACATATTTTTAAAATATAAAAGCTAAATAAATTTCGTTTAATGATTACAAATTGTTATGAGCACAGTGTTCATTAAACAAATATAAAATATGAGCCATTAAGAAAAAATTATAAAATCATCAATTTCGAGTTACCAATTTTGATTTAAAATTTCATTAAGTTTTTCGGTATAATCAAGTAAACGACTTGAATGATACGCTTGAGGATGTGATTTAGTAAAAGTGGCTGTATCCCAAACATTCCTTTGATTTTGTTCTAATACCTTATCCGCTTCATAAAATCCTATAATATCTTTTTCCAACCCTCTATTAAAATTTTTAGTCTTAATATTTTCGTACCAACTTTTGATGATAGTAATTATTTCTAAAGTATTAGGTCTTTTGAATGGGTCCATATTCCAACATCTCTTCATTAGATTTATATAACATTGTGGTGTATTTTCAATAATTTCTGGACGTTTACCCTTACAAATATCTAAAGCAAGTTGAAAATCATGAGCTTGATTATCAAATGGAAGAACTCCAGATATAAATTCCCACATAATCATGGCAAAACTATATATATCATTAGCAAAACTATAAGGTTCGCCTCTCAAAACTTCAGACGTCACAAATGGTAAAACACCATAAATATCACTTTTTTGGAAAGGTATCGTCTTACATAACCTTAGATCACTAATTGGTAAAATACTTCCCATAATATTTAAAATATTTCCATGATGAAAATTACAATGAATAAGATTTTGCTGATGAATCTCATTAAGCCCATTAATAATACTATTTAATTTCAATAGTTTAACTATCCATTTATCTTTAACAATAGTTGGTAGAACTTTTTTCAAACTACCATTTTTTGCATAATTCAATATCGCCATGTAAGTTAAATATTTTGGATCTTGGGTAAATCCATATAATCGAATAATATTTTCATTGGAATAATATTTTAATTGACAATAACATATATAATGATGCAACTACTATAAATAATCGAAAATAGATTAAAATAAGTAAATTATTTAAAATTAAAAAACAAATTATCGAATACATACTTTGTTTAAAAAATCTTTATTTAAATCTGATATGGCCTCAAGACTTTTAAGAAATACATCGATTTTACCATTTCTATTCTATTCCTTCTCGTCGTAAGAAAAAGATTCAATGAATCCATCTATCCAAGTAGCTTTATATACAGTACTGAATTCTCCTTTGTTAAGTATTTCAACATTTTCAAGTTTATCAAAAGGAATCCATTCTAGCACTTGATATTTGTTTTGAGCATTCAGTTGAGTATTTTGAATGAATTTATCAATGGACACATTTCCACTAGTCCAATTAAAAAAGTTTTGATAAAGCTGCTTGGTATTGCAATTGTTACACCATTTATATTCAGTATATTTTTCATTACATATTCCACAATTTCCTATTTTTCTGAATTATAAATCCTATGTTATTTGAAATTCACTCATTTTATAAATATAATATTGGTAATACAAATAGATAAACCAAAATTTATTACTTACTGAATTTAAATTGTATTTGTTAATTTGATTAAAAATACAATATCGATATTCATGTTAATATTAATAAATAGTATTTTTAAATTATAATCAATAAAAATAACTTACCATCTAGATAAAAAAAAAATTATTTTTTAAAATGAAAAATTTAGTTTTACATAAATTAAAAATAAAACAGCAAAAAAATAACTTACAATCTAATGATAAATTTAGTTAGATTTCAATAAATTATTAAATTTTTTTAAAAAAATTTGTTTAATTTAATTAGTATAAAATATAATTATGATTAGAATAATAAAATTAACTTACCGCCTATATTTAAACCATAAAAATAAATAATTAACATAACATACATACCTTCTAAGTTATTAATTTTTTTAAATTTAAACAATGAAATAGTTAGATTTGAAATATCAATGAAGATGCAATTAAATTAATAAATAATTTTACCATCTGAATTATTAAAGAGAATATTTTGTTAACTTTAAATTATAGTAAAAGTGTAATATAAATTCTTACCAACTAAATATTGAATAAAAAATTAAATATAATCTGAATGCATTTTAAATGTACGGGTCACGAATAGTAAATGATATAATCTGTAACGTGAATTTAATATCAAATCATTCATATAATGATTAAAAAACCTTACCATCATTATCTAAATCATTATTTTTTTATTTAAAAAAAAAATGGTTAAGTTAAATTGTAAAATTCTATATTAAGAATTGTTCAAATATAAAATACTACTTAAACCACTCAACATTTCAAAAAATAGAAATTGTAGTTAAATATGACAATCAAATTAAATATGAAAAAATTTAACTTACCATTCGCTATCTTGGCTATTTTTTTTTAAAAAAAAAAAAATGTAAAGAGGAAATTTGAAATAAATATAGATATAATAGTTTACAAAAGTAACAACTTACCATCTAAGAATATCTATTAAATTAATTTTTTTCTTAATTTTATTTAACATTAACAAAATATAACATAAAAATATATTTACTTTCTATATATAATTAAATTGATCAATAAATATTATGAATATAATTTTTTTGATTACAATTTTGAATTAATGTATAGCAAATCAATAAAAAATAATTACCATCTATAATGAGTGTAAATATTCGAAAATTAAGTAATGATAATAAAAGCATTGCATTTTAATCAGTATCTAACCACTAACTTACCGACTAAAGTATCATCAACCATTAGAAAGTTTTAACAAAATTTTTAGCTTTGTTTAAATTGTATAAAATATTATAGTAAATCGAGAAAATATCTTACTCCCTAATAATACCAAAAAAATTTAGTTGAAATATATATAATTTTTATTACATAAAAGTGATAAAATGACTTACAATCTATAGTTATTATTGTACATAAATCAAAAAATTCATATTAAATTATAGCTTAATTTAATTTTAGCATATTGACCAACGTAATAATATTCACCTTCAAATCCTTCTAAAGTAGAAATATCTAACATGTAATAATTTATTTTAAGAAATAATTTTTTTAGAATGTTCGCTTCTACTTGTAGCTATTTAATTGCCAGATAACTGAAAATTTACCTTTATCGCTATTTTCGATCATTGTTTATAAAATTCTAAAAAAAAGGCACTTCAATCATTTTGTATTTTTATTCTTGCTATATAATCATTTTTAGCTCGTTGATGTAGAAAATACATTATTCAATCTACTTTTTAACTAATTTTGTTAAGTTTTGAAATTTCTAGCTGGAATTTTGCAGATCCGACAGTAATTTCACTAGGGACCCCAAAACTTTTGGACAAAAAATCTAAAAAGACAAAAAAAATTAAGTTTCACGTTTCAAAGCGATCGAACCGAGAAATTAAAAAGAAATGACACAAAAAGAAAATTAATAAAAAAGCTATAGCTGTACAAATGGAAGCTATTCAACTATATACTGTAATATTAGAAAAAAATCAATTTTTTTATTCATATCGATGTTGTAGCCCAAACGTCACCATATTCCAAGTTAAACTTGGGATATCCCAAATCGAAATTCCTATTTCGGACTTCTCAAACTGCAATTTCTAATTTGGGAT